TTTAGAGCTCTTGTACATAGGGTCATTATGAGTCGCAAACCACTCGATGGCACGTAACAACAACAACAAACAACAAGCAATACATATCTGAGAGAAAAACAGACAGCTTTACTTTTGAACCTAGAACAATAAAAAAAAAGATGCCTCCTCTCACTTTCCCATATTGTACTCAAAGCTCTAGCCATAGTAAGAAGAAAAAAAAGGAATAAAAAAATACCCATACTGAAAAACAGACTAGAAGAAATAAAAGCACCTTTATTCATGGCTGACACAGTGTTGCTGAATAAACTTGCCACTGAATTAATTACTCATAGCCACCTTTTGATTAAAGAATGTGAGTGAACCCTGCTCTATCCTGGGTCAACCTCACCATCCTTAATACACTCAAACCCATTGTTATACTGTGTCAATCCACGTCCCTGAGAGTCTTTCAAGCATGGTATGTCTGTTCCCAAAGACCAACCCCTCCTAATATGCCCAAAGTATGTGAGACCAAGTTCCTTGCCTCTAAGGAGCACCGTAGTTGCACTTTCTACAAGACATATCTGTTTGTTCTTTTGGCAGTGAGTGGGATACTTAGTACTCTTCTCCAACACAATTCAAATGCATCAATTCTTCTGTCATTCTTAATCATTTTTCCAATTTTCAGATGCACAGTAAATAACCAAAAAGACCATGGCCTGAATCCACAAGTCTTTAAACTGAAATCATCGCTCCTTAGCACTCTGGAGAGGTCCCTGACATCATCTTTCTATTTCTTGACTGCTAGGATATAATCTTATTGACAAAAGAATTTCATGAGATAACATATGATCAAGAGGCAATGGTGATGAAGGAGGAAGTTCAAGCTTCTCTGAAGGAAATGGCAAGAAAAAAGGCCCAAGGAATTAACAGAATACCAACTGGCATATTTCAGCAAATAGATGCTGTCCTGGATGTGCTAAGCAGATTGTGCCAAGAAATTTAGAGGACAAATACTTGACCAATTGACTGGAAGACATTCATATTTCTACCTATTCCAAAAAAAGGAGATCCAACATAGTATGGAAATTACCAGAGTATCACCAATACACATGCAAGCAAAATCCTGCTGAAGATTATAAAAAAAACAGCTGGAACAAGATAAAATAAAAGCTGGATTTAGAAAAACCCATCACGCTAGGGATATCAAAGCCAATGTCATCAAAGCCAATGTGGCATCAGCTCTTGGCTGAAAGCAGCGAGTATCAAAGGAATGTCTATCTGTAATTCACTGACTATGCAAAGGCATTTGACTGTGTGGATCACAATAAAGTGTAGTTAACCTTGAGAAGAAGAGGAACCCCAGAACTCCTGATTGTGCTCATTTGAAACCTATACTTGGACCAAGAAGCAGCTGTCAGAACAGAGCAAAGGAAACACTGCATGGTTCAAAATCAGGAAAAGAGTATAGCAAGGAAGCATCCTGTCTCCTTAGCTTTTCAATCTCTATGCAGAACAGACCATTCGGGATTTGGGAGGCTAAAGTTTATGAGGAGGAATGTGGCATCAGTATTGGAAGGAGACTCATCAACAATCTATGTTATATAGATGGCAAAGCCTCGCCAAAACTGAAGAGGACCTGAAGTATTTGCTACAAAAGGTCAAAGACTGTATTCTTCAGTATAGACTGAAACTCAACATCAAGAAGACAAAGATTCTTAAAAACTGAGCAAAATGGCAGCACCATGATAGACATTCTTAGCACCAGCAATCAGGAAATCAAAAGACGAACTGCAGTAAGAAAATCTGCTGTCAGGGACTTCTCCAAAGTACTAAAGAGCAACAATGTCAGTTTGGAGACTTAGGTGTGCCTGACACAGGCCATAGTTTTTGCAATTGCTTGCAATGCATTAGAAAGCTGGAGAATGAATAAGGATAACAAAAGAAGAATCAATGCATTTGAGTTGTGGTGCTGGAGAAGAGTATTAAACACAGATATCATGGACTGTCAAGACAACAAAGAGGTTTGTCCTAGAAAGAGGAAAACCAAGTTGCCACTTAGAGGCAAGAATTTGAAGCTCCATTTGACATACTTAGGGCATGTTGCCAGGAGGGACCAGTAATTACCAAAGAACATCATGCTTAGAAGGACAGAGGGACAGCGCAAGAGAGGAAGACCCTGGATAAGATGGACTGACACAGTAACTGGGGTAATGAGGGTAGGTGTGTAAGAGACAATGAGACTGGCTCAGGATAGGACAAGGTTCAGAGCTACTGTGCAAAGGGGCGCTCTGAATCATAAGCAACCCGACAGCACAAAACAACATAGAAAGACCTAAAGATTCTGCCAAGTTAGCAAAATTGCCAGGTACAAAGTCAACAAACAAAAATCCATTTGCTTTCTACACACTTAGTAATGAGAAAATCGAAAGAGAAGTTAGGGGAATAATCCAGTAAATACAGTAACATCTTAAATGAACAAAATATCTAAGAAATAAATTAAGCCAGGGAGATGAAGGTTGTAAACTATGAATTTATTTTATTTTTATTTTTTTTTGGTGCATACCATCAAATCAGATCTGACTGGTACAAGAGGACAATTGTCCCTTCTTTTCCAGCAGAGCATCTCGTGGATTCAAACAGGAAAACTATTTTTACAATGGCAGAGAGGTTAAGGAAGAAAGAAATAAACAAAAAGATTTATGTTCTTGGGTTGGAAGACTCAATGTTGGTTAAGATGTCAATACTACCTAAAGCAATCTATAGATTCAACACAAAAAATCCAACCACAGTTCTAGCAGCTTTCTTTATAGAAATGGTAAACCCAATCCTCAATTTTATAGGGAGGAGACAAACAGCTAACATAATGTTGAAAAAGAACAAAGCAGGAAGACTCACACTTTCTGATTTTAAAACATATTAAACAAATACCACAGTCAAAACTTCTGTGTATGGGTGAGGCAAGATAGTGGCTTAGTCCACATATCATGCCACCCCCTTCATAGAAAACAGACTCAAAAATCACATGAAAGAGATACAGACCTCAAACAAGAAGTGGAAGGATTAAGAATTAAATTAAAAGCCAAATGGAAGGGGACACTGCATGGAAACAGTGAACAACAATATATGGACCATCAGAACCAGGCAGGCAGCCAGAGCAGTGGTATCACCTTGAAACAAAGCCGTATTTCTGGGGAGGACCAAGAGAAGGCATTTCCAGAGACTTCCCAATGGGAATCAGAGCTAGCACATAGATTAACATGGAGTGATACGAGGTGCCATCTGCACCTTTGTCCAGTGACAAAAAGGTGTCCCTGCTGTCTCTTTCCAGTGTCCACTCTGCTGCAGCATCACACCCAGACAGGTCCAGCAGGTAACTGCACATAACACTTGGACCCGTACCTGGCCCCAGGCCCTGATGCACGATGTTGGGCACCAGGATGCCATTCTTTCCACCTTAGAGTCCTCCTTCACAGCAGCTAGGAAGACGCCCAGCCCTGATGTATAGAGGACACAGTAACTGCTCACACCAATCCAGAACCACCCACCAGTGGGTCCCACAGGGCTGCTGCAGAACCCTAAACACCTAACACTTGTTACCAGCAACGGGGAAAGAATCACCTCTCCTATTTCCACTCAAGTCAATGCTCCAGTGACAACAGGTAATAACCAAATCATAAGAAAAAAAATAGGATAAGAAAGCTAACAAGTCATTTGGATGGCCCAGACACACATGAAGAAATACTCAAAATCACTATCAATAAGAGAGGTGCAAATTGAAACCACAATGAGATACTATCTCACCCCAGTAGCAGTGACAAGGTTTAGCAAGCAACAAATAACAGAAAGGATATGGAGAAGTGGGAACTCTCATACACTGCTGGTGTGACTGTAAAATGGTACAACCACTCTAGAAGGTAGTTTGACATTTCCTCAAAAACCCGAACATAGAAACTCCGTATGGCCCAGCTATACCCCTACTAGGAATATAACCCAAGGAAATTAGAACTGAGACACAAATGGAGATTTGTACACCAATATTCACAGCAGCATTATTCACCATTGCATGAACATGGAAACAGCTCAAATGTCCAACCACAACCGAATGGACTGAAAATTGTAGTACTTTCACAAGATGGACACCAAGTAGCACTCAGGAGCAATGGTTTCGAAAAACGCTGCCTAATTTGTGAGAGACTGGAGAGCATTATGCTTAGTGAACTGACTCAGTCTCATAAGGACAAATATTGTATAAAGGCCTTTATTATAAAAACAGAAGGATAACTAGTAAGACATGTATGGGGATTCAAAGAGAGAAGGAGTAGGAGCAGAGGGGTGAATATGGGTAGAGGTAAAACCACAGGGTTGCGCAATATGGCAGGTGGAGGGAAGGGGTAAAGGAAATGGGAAAGATCCAGTGGGGACCTAAAAAGAGAGGGTAATGGTGGGCATAGTCTAATGGAGACTAGTTTTATAAAACACAATGAATGGGAATGATTGTATGAAACATAATGTGAATGAACAATAGTATGAAAAACAATGCATATGAACTTTATAAGCAAACCAATATAAAATGAATTTTTTTTTAAAGTCTACCAATTAAATCTACTAAAAAATACTTGGAAGAAATGAGCTAAAACAGCACACAAAGATAACTAGTATCAATTAATAGATCTCATATTTTAATGACAAATCCATTTTCTTCAGCAGTTATATGTCAATTTTCCAGTAAGCGTTGGTGATATTTTTCCAAGGAAGTTTTCAATGTCATCTAGGTTTTTAATTAACTGAAATAAATTCAAATACCATTGTTGTTGCCTTGGGACTTGTAGCTGACTCTCCATCAGGTTTACGAAGAAATCACATACCTACTGATAGGGAGCCACTGGTTGATCTGAAGCACCAGCGAAGTCAGCAGCCCAACTCCCTATGCAAACGCCACCAGCTATTGATAATGTTCCTTTATTGATACTTTTATATAGTTCAGCTTTCTTGACACTAGTTTCTCAGTTAAATCAACATTTTGTACACAATATGATCACAAGTGTAACTATTACAAATACATATTTGTAAAAGTCTGCTTACTGGTAGAAGGTAGGTGACGCTGTGAAAATATACCAGATTTAGCATAACGAAGGTAACCTCAATGTGAGATAGAAAACCAGGCTGCAGTAAATTGAAAAGTGAATGGGAAAACAGATTAAGTAGATTTTATACTTATCTAATTTATTATCTTGACACTGTTCATTAAAGCAGAATTTTCATGCAACAGAATCTAAACCACATAAACCTTAGCATCATTTCATTAACAGCAGCCTTAAATGATCTTAAGAGCACAAAAATCCTAGCTGTTCTGAAAAATGAGAATTTTTCCCATTCTCATAAATCTATTTCCTCCTAGAATATACCTTCATACTTCCTCTGATACTAATGTTCACAAACTGAATCACAGAATATTCCAACAAGTGGCTGCAACATTCAAACCTTTACAGTATAAAGCAGGAAAAAAAATAAATGGTAAACTGAATTGATCTATAATAAACACTGAAGATATTTACTCACCTGGTAATCCTGTGGAGGAGAAAAATTGTCCTTTTACTTTCAACAGTTATATCCCGGCTAAGTTTTACAAGTCTTTCATATTTGTCATGTCTTGCATCAAGTACTTGCTGAAAAGCTGAGAACACATTATAATGACCATAAGGATACATGATAGGTATCTGAAGCCTATCAAAGCATATAAAAGAATTCAAATGGTATTTAATGTGAACTAGGACAATGAATGGTTACAGAACATGCCCTGTTTATAAAGGCATAATGGACACAAAAAGTATGGCAATGACATAGTAAACACCCACCCGTGGGCTCCTGACGGCCAAGTTAACTTGAGTTGACTTCATACAATTCAAGTATGTTGTTGTTGTTGTTATGTGCCATCGAGTCGCTTGTGACTAGCGACCCTATGTACAAGAGCTCTAAACGCCATTTTATCCTGTGCCAACCTAGCCATCTCAAACGCACTCATTCCCACCACTCCAGTCTCAAAATCGATCCATCTCATTGAAGGTCTTCCTCTCCTGCGCCGTCCCTCCACTCTCCCAAACATAATGTCCCTCTCCAAGGACCAGTCCCTCCCTGCAACATGCCCAAAGTATGTCAGATGAAACTGCAGAATCCTTGACTCCAAGGAGGAGGGACCAACTCATAGCTAACTCTTCAGTCAGTTTCAGAGGCAGTAAATCACATGGGAAGAAACTTCCCACCTTTCTCTTACAAAGCAGCTGGTAGATTTAAACTGTCTGCCTTTGGGTTGGCAGTGTACCCATAGTTATTGTTGCTGTATACCACTGAGTCATAACCGATCTCTAGCTGACTCTCCATCAGGTTTTCAAAGCCAGTAAATCACATGAGAATGCCCATCTTTCTCCCTCAGAGCAGCTGGTGGATATGAACCACATGCTTTTTTGTTGCCAGCACAACTCCTTACTACAGTAGAGAGGGATAAAAGGAGGACTGTGTTTGTTGGTTATCAAATGGAGACTTTTACCAATTATGAGAGAAAAAGGGAGACTGTGAACACATTCCCACCATGCAGAATAGTACAGACAAAAATAAAGATACAGATACACTACTTCCTACCTCCCAGGAGGCTACCTAAGAAAACAAAACAAATACATGTTAAAGAATACACACACACACAGTGAGCTCTAATGGCCTAGTGGGAAAGGAGTTGCACTGCCAACCGAAAGGCAAGCAGTTTGAATCAACCACTTGTACCAAGCAAGAAAGATGAGCAGTCTCCTCACTCGTGATTTACAGCCTCTGGAGTCAGCTATGAATCAGTTCCAACTCTATCACAGCTAACAACAAATATAATAGACAGGAAAACCTTATCTACCACGCACATGTAACTTGTGGCAAGTCTATCATTAATTAATGCCTACCTGTGGTACTAGCTCAACAACAACAACAACAAAAATCAAGATGTTTAAGACTTTAAAGGCAAATCTTACACAATACCAAAATCTCCAGGAACATGAAAAGGCTCCTATCTGCACATCTTGGGGATTTTTTTCTGGTATAGAACACGACTCAACCGTTTTTGATAAAACACCTTTGTTGTCTTCCCCTTGTCAACTTGCACTTCAGAGAACTTACATTTGAAGGCCATCATCACAGGTGAAGACAAGTTAACATCCTTCCCTTCTCGTCTCTGGTTATGTGGGAAATTGTCGTGCTTCCGTTTCCTGAACCCTCCAGACCCTTTGCGAGGATGAAGGGACAATTAGATGCAGCTCATCCATCACCAAGAAGGAGCAAAACAATATGAGCAAATCTCCTTCGTTTACAACAGGGAGTGGGCCCTCGACTTGGGGACTATTACAAAGGACAGAAAATAGCAAATCCTGAACTGCATAAGGAAGAGCAATCTAAGATAAAATAACAGCTAGAAAATGTTATAAAATGAAGCATGTAAACAAGCCAGTGTGTCCAAGAAAGCTACAGAGCAACCGCCACCACGCCTAGCCTGCAAGGGAAGTGGGCATCCCTCAAAGGGGAGAAGCTGGAATCCAGAGAAAGAAACTGGGGAGCCTCCCTCCATAAATGATGCCTAACCCTAACCTTCCTTGTTGCTCATGTCGTCCGGATCGGCGTGAGAACAGCAGAGACTGAAGGCCCTGGAGGAACGGGGAGAGGAGGGGCCTGTCTTGGCCGCAAACAGAGCCCTGGAGGGGGTCTGATGAAGCGCTATCCCACGGCTGTCAATGTCGACAGTCCAGCGTGAGCCATGCGTCGCAGAGATTCGGACTGCTCCTGTCGCCCCTCATACGCACTTCCATACTTCGCCCCGCCCCATCCGCCATTGGCCCCGCCTTCGCACCCGAGGTCCTCCCGTCCTCGCGGTCAGAACGCCCCTGTGCCTGAAGGGAGAGGCAGAGTTGCTAAGTACACGCGCTGCTGGGAAAAGGCGACGTCACTGAGAAAGGTGAAATTTGAGTAACGCTGTGAAATCGACGAGAAATGTACTCATTATTTTTCTTGTATAATACTCCCACTTTCCCCGGAACAGAGCGCAGAGCACAGAGCTTGCCGCGCTGTGCATCATGAAAGTTGTAGTCTCCCTTAGAGACGCCCCCATCTGGCTCCTTCACTTGGTAGAGGTGGGGACGGGTGGTCTTCCACACCTGGGGAGAGGGGATCTCAGAGTCACAGGGGTCTTACAGAACGAACTATTGTGTTTTCTTAAAGCCGTCTATTTTTAAGTCCAAGACTTGTTTGAAAACATTGTTTGCGTACTTTCATATACATTGCATTTAATGCATAATCCATTGTGTTTTTTCAGTCCTTCACTTACATTGTATTTAGTACATGTACACTGTGTCTTACACATTCACATACATTGTATTTTAAATAACTGATTGCTATTTGTTGTTGTTAGAGTAGACTCGTTTCCAACTCATAGCGACCCTATGCACAACAGCCCTAAACCCTGCTCTATCCTGCGCCAACCGCACCACCTCTGACACACCCATCCCTATTACCCCAGTCACCGAATCAATCCATCTCATAGAGGGTCTTCCCGTCCTGCGTTGTCCCTCAACCCTCCCAAGCATGATGTCCC